AACTCAATTGCCTTTGTCACCTCATCGAAGTCACCTAGCGTGACAGAGAGTGAGATCGTTCCCTTGGGGAGCAGGTGGTCCCCTGTGAAGCCATATAAAGGGAATGAGGCAGGCTTCAGGTCGGCCTCGTCCAAATTCATTCGTTTGAAAGTTGAGGCGAACAGGATGTTCGCAGCACTTCCGTTATCTACTAACATCCTCTGGACGTTATGTCGCCCTATGAGGGGCGTGATCACAAGGGCATCATCGTGAGGATGATGTAGTTGGGCTGCATCCTTTTCGGAGAAGGAAATTACCTCCTCCCGGCGAACCTTTTGTGGTTGCTGCGCCACGCTCATCGTTCTGATGGAGTCATGGTGTGCCTCACAAGCATACCTTTCTTGGGCACCTCGCGAATTCCCGGCGAAGTGTGGTCCCCCGAAGATTAAATTGAGGGTGCACACACCTTTCTGATCACGACGCTTCTTACTTGGCTTCCCCTTGATTCTTCTCTTGTGAGGGAGCGGAGTTATCAATATACTCCTTGAAATGCCCCTGTTTGATGAGGTTTTCGATCACCTACTTGATAAGGTTTTTGATCGCCTGCTTGAGAGCTCAGCATTCATCGGTATGGTGCCCATTGTCCCGATGATAGTGACAATATTTTTTACTATTCCTGGCCGATCGGGGATTTTTCATGGGCTCAGGTTCTCCGAGCAGCTGGCCTCTTCTGATTTGTCAAGAATAGCTGATACAGATGCATTTAATGGGGTATATTGGTTCCTATCGCGATCGCAACGAGGAACTAGGGCATATGACGTTTTGGGCTCATAACGCGGCTTTTTCCCTTTCAGCTGATCGTCAGGAGCCCATCTGCTATCAACTTTCATTCTTTCTTCCCGACCATACGCACCGCCTGAGGTGCCGCGGTCGCGGCGGTGGAGCGCTGCTACAGAACTTTCAATACGGAGATACTTCTCCGTGAGATTGTAAAAACGGGTGACAGAAACATCATCCTCAGCCTGTAGCTCTTTCCACAGGTCGGTTTGTGGACGAACTCCTACAACGATGAGAGTCCGAACAGATTCCTCAGGAGTGTGAGCCACTTTGTTGAGTTCTCTGTGGAATCTATCTATATAGGATTGGAGGGATGCGTCCCTCTCTTGCCTTATGTTGCTAAAATAGCGCAAAGGCATTGAGAACTTTCTGTTCGCTTGAAAATGCCTCAGTAACGTCGTGCTCATTTGAGGCCACGAGCCTATCGATCCCGTTGGGAGCGATCTGAGCCATCGTTTGGCATGAGAGGTTAAGGTCACTGCCAAACACCGACATTTTGCCAAATCTGAGACCTGGTGCAGCTCCATTAAGTCGTTGAATTCATACAAGTAATCATGCGAATCAGAATTTCCATCGAACAGCCGCATGTCGGGCATTCTAAACCCCGATGGTAGTGGGGCGGCTAATACCGCCAGAGAAAAGGGAGACGCCGATGCGACCTGCCCTTGCTTGTTTTGCTGAGCTCTTAGTAGGTCTAGAGCTCACTACATCTCTTTAATTTGTGGCAATGGAGCCGCTTGGGGATTGCTTTCACCCATGCGAGTTCGACCCGCGTGATTACAGTTGAGGAAAGTCCAGAGGTCAAGTTCCTTTTTGCCTCGATCGACGGTTCCGCCACTCTCGACACACACTGGCTAGAGGCGTGTGATGGCGATGAAAGGTGCGGGGTATTTTCACGACCTTCGCGGTGGTAAGAACCACCCCACGAAGTGTGAGACCCTCTCGCATGATGACGATTAGGATCGTTTTGCTGGTGGTGATAAGAATCGCCCCGCCCAACATTTTTATGGGGGTGTACTTGCGACGTGGCATGGGACAGCTTGGGTTGCGTCTTTCACAGAGTCTCAGCGAGACTGGTATTCTGTTTGGGACGCGGTCGGTGTTCGTTGGCCCTTTGGAGCCCGTGGGCTTGTTTTTTGCCACTTGCTTACCCTTTCGTCTACGCGCTGCAGTGCTCGCGGCACGGGCTATTTCCCTCTGCCGCACTTTCGCATGACCTGCAGGCGTTTTTGGCGGTTGCACCACCCCAGCTGACTTGGATGACACGCCTTGGTCCAAACGGTCCAACCTTCAGTTGACTGTTTGGAAAGTATTGTCAAACCTCTCTAGTTAGCTTCTAATGGCGGGGTCAAACTGTGAACTTGACGGGATATCCCCTGCAGCATTTTGTGGGGCTAAAGGTTTTTTGGAAGAAGTGTCCCCCTGGACTTGGGGGAGCCCCTCAACACCCTAGTTGGTTTACTCAGGTTCAGGTTGGCGGGCCATTTGCTATTGTAGGATCAGTAAGTTAGAGATTCTCCTGATGAAGGATGAACACTAAATTAGACCGTCCTTCTAGTGCCAAACTGTTGATGCGTGATTTTGACACCAACGAATCGTACATGTGAGATGCTGAGCTGGCCCAGAAAACACACGTGAAAGAGAAAGAATCGAGAGTAAAGGCAATGAGAAAGGAGTTTTAAAGTGGTTCGGATGCTAAGGAAGCAAGTCCTACGTCTACTGATGTTTGTATTAATGATAAGGGTCAGGTCGCTTTAGCTGACTGACTTTACAATGATAATACAAGGTATCAAATGTTGTATATTCTAGAGAGAGAGAGGGAGTAGCTAATCAAATGCAAAAATATGCGAATCCCCCACAATGAGAGAGGGGCTCTCAATTTATAGTGGAATGGATTGAGGCAATCATCACTGAATCTGTGGGTTGGTGAGATTATCCATGCAAAATCATTTTTTATGTCACATTGCCTACCTTTTATAGTGATTTGCGCGATTTGGAGCAGGGATTGGACACGTGTGATCATCATAGCTCTTGGCTGGCCTAGCGTGCTCCCACTATTCTGACAGAAGCAGGCTACGGGCGTACCCATGATCTAACTCTTGCATGCTGACTGGACCTTAAGTCAGCCCTTATATTTTTTTTGGGCATAACATAACTGAAGTCTAAATAACTTAAATCATGCAATTTAAGCAGAGAAGAGCTAATTGTACCTCTCAAACCCTGGAAGGGATCTGAGCCATTGGACACTTTAAGATCAAGCTTGTTTATATGGCCAGTTCTGTTGCTGCACTGAACTCCTCTCCAGTTACAACAATTCTTTTTAACATCTTCACTTCCCCATGAAGAGAGATGGCCACGTTCATCTACCAGGCCTTGTTTCAAAGCAAGCAGCGCTTCTCTCTCCTCCTCTATGCACGTTATTATGTTTGAGTCAGCAACTGTTTGATGCGCAATGAACAAAATCACCATAACCAGAAGCAAATGTTGAGGAAACTTGCCACCTGACATCATCGTCAAAATCAAGCAGCAACTCCAACAGTGAAGTTCAAGCAGTAAATATGAATGTGTGGTGATATTTCTGAAACACCCAAGCCCACAAGCATTTTAAAGTAGTGAATTACCATGTGTTTTTCGACAACAAAGTCTTCGATCAAGTCAACCGACCATGGGAAACGAATCTTGCTTTCTCTTATATGCTCGTTCATGCATTCAATTACCATGTTTTAAGGAGTTGAATCTTGTGATGTGAAAATGACATTATCAATTAAAATATTACCAAAATTTAAAAGCAAAGTATTTATTAAGCCTTCAATACTTATGAGTATCAATAACTTTGCTTGATTGTAGAAGACGTTTTCTCATTAAAGTAGGAAGATGTAATATAAGTGTTTTATGGCAAAAATTTGTCAAGTGATTCTTCAAACAATTTGTTTTTCTAAGGAAGATTTTTTCATATATATATATATATATATATATATATATATCAAGCTAGCTAGTACTTCTAAAAATAAAATAAAATAAATACCAAAAAAAATGTTTAATTTGTTAATTTGAATTAAATGTAAAATAAATACAAAATGACGTTTAAAATAGTTGAAAATACTTTATGGAGTACTTGTAATTCATTTGGCATATAGAGGAGGAAAGGCAGCAATAAAAAAATAAATTAAATTGCTCATAACTTAACCAAAAAACTTTCATTTTCACTGATAAAAGGAAATCATTTATCATAACTTTTCACTTTGAGAAGGAAATCGGGTTTTTGGATTTGGAGACGGTGGCTAAGATATGGTGAGGATGTTCTTTTTCTTTTATCAATTCTTTTAATTATATAAAATATGTAAGTAATAATTGTAGGGCAGTTTTGTATTATTATCAAATCAGTTTACCTTTTGCCGTTATATAATTTAATTATGCTCAAGGGAGATATCCGAGGAAAAACCCAAATGTGAGGGAAGATCTTGATTTTTCATAGTAGACTTGGGTTTTGTTGGATTTTTCATAGTAGACTTGGGTTTTGTTGGATTTTTCCTAAACCTAACTAGAGGTCCTAAGACTGAAACTAAACATGTAATTCAACACCAAAAACAGAACACCGAATTGTTGTGCTCAAAATGAAAGAGAAAACACAATTTTTACGTGCTCATGTTCTCGAGTTGTGATGACCAATTCATTAATTATGAGGATCAAAATTGTTTGGAAACTTTCAATTACAAATTTAAAACATTCACTCAAAATATTCAAAAGAATAAATGTTTAGAAATTGAATATATATATATATACCATGAAAATAAATACCAAATTGCATTTCCATATTGTACTTGTTATTCAATAAGCAGAGAGAGACGGAAGAGGCAGCAATCCCCTCCCTTTTACAAGTCACAATTCAAAAGAAAATTATGTAGACATGTTGTAATAATTACACAAAAGCACTAAATTGAAAGGACTTGAGATTTAGAAACTAAGTCTTGTTCGCAGTTTGGAGATACTGACAACTGCTGTCACATAGAGCCAATCTTTCACATCAATCAAGAAATTGAAGTAGGCATGTCTCCATGAAGCTTTGAACAATAAAGTCCCACAGACTCCCCAATACCCTAGTACAAAACCAATTACCGAACTCAAATAAAACCATAGGTCGTCTTTTGGAGAGTCAGTGTCCTCTTTTCCTCCATTATTAGTGGCTAGACCTTGAGCTGGTTCATCACTGGACACTTAGTTGGAAGTGACAACCCACACAAACCGAGATTCCCCCCATACGCTGAGGAATTGAAGCTTTGGAGTTGGGTGCTTGATGGTATTCTGCCTGACAAGTTGTTATTTGAAAGATTGAGGACACTAAGACCACTTATTAGTGAAAGGGTTGGAGAAATTTCACTAGAAAACCGTTTTCTTGATAAATCAAGGAAATCCAATGATTTTAAATCACCAATTTTCGAAGTGATTTCTCCACTCAAATTGTTTCTAGAAAGGTTCAAGCCAACCAATCCTGTAAGGCTCATAATCTCTCTAGAAACTTCTCCACTTAGTCTATTGCTTGAAAGGTCAAGGATCTTTACCAATCCTAGAATATTCTTGAACTCGCTTTTACATCCTTTCCATGTCAACACTGCATTGTCAAAATACTCATGGCCCCCGAACTCATAACCAACATAGGGGATATAGTCGGTAGTGATGGTGGCACTGGTATCCCATTCGTCAGTCATGGCAGAAAAATTGTTGAAACATTTTGGTATAGTTCCTGAAATATTGTTTAAAGAAAGGTCCAAGATCTGAATATTTGCTAGACGGCATATCTGGAGAGGAATGTTTCCAAAAAATCTGTTGGATTGCAGACTAAGAATAATTAAATCTTGCAGGCTTTCCCCTATCCACTCTGGTATCCTTCCTGATAATGCGTTCTTTTCTAAATCTAGCATTCTTAGTTCTGTACAATTCTTTAAAGACGAAGGCAATTCTCCAGAGAAGCTATTATTGCGTAAACTCGATGTTTGAAGATTACTTAGGGCGCCCATCGTGTCTGGAATTTTCCCGAAGAAATTGTTGTTTGCAAAATTAACTATCATTAAGTAATTGGATTGCTTCCAACAATTTGGAACCCCTCCATATAGCAGGTTACTGGAGATGTCGATGAAAACCAAATTCTCAATAGCGAAACATAAGGAAGAAATCGTTCCCGAAAACTTATTTTTGGATAGATTCACAAAAGATATAAGTGAAGGAAGTGTTGGAATTGGACCCTCAAAATGATTTGAACTAAAATCTATTGCCGAAATTAAAGAAGAATTAAATTTCAAAGATAAATTTGGAAGTTTACTCTTGATCTGATTGTGAGAGAGATTTAATTCTCTTAATTCAAGGGATAGATCCCAAAACCATTCAGGTAAAATATCTGAGATTCCAGCATTGGAAATATATAGAGCTCTAAGACGTTTTTGAGTTTGAAGCCATTTTGGGAAATGAGGCCCTATCTTGCAAGAGGCAAGACTTATAGTGTGCAGTTGAAAAGGAGGAATCCAGTCAGGTCTCAGTTCAGAGACAAGAGAGTTACCAGCCAAGTCCAAAATTTTTAAGTTGGAGAGATTTGAGAAAACGGCTTCTGTGATTTCACCTTCCAATGAATTCTCACGAAGAACCAAAACCTCAAGCTTGTACGGGAGTCCAATGCTTTTGGTTAAGGTTCCATTCAAAAGATTCTGTTGAAGAAGTAGTTCTACTAAGGACGAAAATCTTGACAGAGCAGACACTGAACCTATGAATTTATTGTCACTCAAGTCCAAGCCCGTCAGAGTGCTTTCAGTGCACGCACCAATTAAGTTTCGAATAGACTTCGGGAGTTTTCCTCCAAGATTATTATTCTCCAGACCTAATGAATGTAAGCGAGACATATTCCCAAAGGATTCTGGAATTCCACCTTCAAGGTGATTATAAGAAAGATCGAGCACTGTTAGCGAAGTGAAGTGTCCAAAAGTGTCAGGAATGGAACCTTGTAATTGGTTATGGCTAAGGTCAAGATAACCAAGATTATTACTAAAGTTGAACAACCAGGGATACATTGAGGAAGTGAGATTGTTGGAACCGAGATCGAGGTGCAGAAGAGATGTAGAATTGACAAGTGACAGAGGGGAAGAAATGATCGGTGGAAGATTACAATCCTGCAGAATCAAGGTTCTCAGGGAAGGGAGCTTGTTAACTACCTTAAACCAATCACTGGATTTACTAAGGTTGCTATAAGTCAGGTCAAGATAACTCAAAGAAGAAAGGTGAGAAAGCCACTCAAGGTTTCCAATACTAGATAAACCATCATTATCGCCAAGGTCCAGAAATTGCAAACTTGAAAGATTTCCAAGCTGACGAGGAATTGGTCCACCAAAATTACTAGAAGAGAGACTAAGGTGAGTCAATTTGCTGAGGGAACCAATGAACTTAGGGATTTGACTTCCACCAAAATCATTGAAACTCAAGTCTAGATAACTTAAATCATGCAATTTAAGCAGAGAAGAGCTAATTCCTAATTGTACCTCTCAAACCCTGGAAATCAAATGATACTTGTGTTCAAAGAAGTGATATTTTGCTTGAAGCATTATTTTGGATTAAACTGGAGCTGTTCTGGAGGCAAAAGAAAAGGCTGAAGTTTGAAAATCTGGTCTGGAGCAGTTCACGTAGTTGTTCTGTAGGCATGCTGAAGTGATGTATTTTGGTGAGTTCAGCATGTATTTAGGTTGTCAACTTTGTATCAAATTAATGTGATGTAATCAAAGTTGCTAAGTTTGTGTGGTTAGGAAGCCATTTTGGACTAAAATATGTTTTATGGTTAGGTGCAATAGTGTCTGTCATGTATATATGTCTGCTGTAATTTTTCAGTTTAATGTAATGCAATATTTCAGCTCTTTTCTTGTTTTTCATCCTTTTCTCTCCCGTAAGACCACATTCATGCTCATAAAACCAACAAGTGGTATCAGAGCTCCATCTTGATCTTAAGGGGCCTGCAAAACCTCCATCCTTGCACACTCTCTGTCAGCCCTTACCTCACCGAAGACAGACTTCATGGCAACAAGTTCAGCCTCACTCTTGCCTCCAACCTTCAATGGGGAACAGTACCATATGTGGGCTGTGAAGATGATGGCTTACTTGAGAGGTTAGAGTCTATGGCAGTATGTTGAAGAAGAGAAACAACCACCACAGTTGGGACCAAACCCAACCCTGAACCAGATAAGACTCCATGAAGAGGAGACTGCAAAAGCTCCAAGAGCCTTGTCCCATTTACATGTTGCAGTCACCGATCAAGTTTTCACAAGGATAATGGCTTGTGAGATAGCAAAGCAGGCTTGGGACAAGCTTAAGGAATAATTTAGAGGAAGCACCCAAACCAAAAACATGCAAGTCTTGAACCTAAGGAGAGAGTTTGAGACATTGAAAATGCAAGAGGCTGAAGTGGTTAAAGAGTATGTAGATAGATTAATGAATGTAGTTAACAAGATAAGGTTGTTAGGGGAAGAGATAAGTGATAAAAGAATTGTTGAAAAGGTGTTAGTAAGCCTACCCGAGAGGTTTGAATCAAAGATTTCTTCTTTGGAGGATTCCAAAGACTTGTCTCAAATCACCTTAACCGAACTTGTTCATGCTCTTCAAGCCCAAGAACAAAGAAGAAAATTGAGGCAAGAAGATAGTACTGAAGCTGCATTGTTTGTCCAGCAGAAAATCAAGCCAACTCAGGGAGAAAACAAGAAGTTTGGAGGAGAGAAAAGAGGAAAGGAGAGAGCAAACAAGCAGTGGAACAAACCAGCAAGTTTCAAGGTTTTTGCACCATGTTCCCACTGCAAGAAGAAGAACCATGCTGAGTACAAGTGCTGGTTCAGACCAAATGTTCAATGCAGGGCATGCAAGCAACTAGGCCACATTGAAAAGGTCTACAAAAACAAACAACAGCAACCTGCACAGCAAGCACAGACTGCTGAAGATTTGCATCAGAATTCTGAATCTGAGCAGCTCTTTGTGGCATCCTGCTATGTTGTTCAGTTCAATGCTGGAACTTGGCTGATTGATAGTGGATGTACAAACCACATGACGCCTGATCTGAAGAATTTTGTGCAGTTGGATCAAGCATACCAGTCAAGTGTAAAGGTGGGAAATGGTGAACTTGTGAAAGTTAAAGGCAGAGGAGATGTGGCTGTGCAGACCATGACAGGTACAAAGATCATTTACAATGTATTATTTGTTCCTGAAATCAACCAAAATCTGCTCATCCAACCAACCATTCAAAAAAGCTGACTTAACATCCATTTGATACACTTTCCACTTCTAAACACAGCAGCTACTTCAGCTTTGAATTGGGCTGCCAAAGCTAGAACCAATCTAATTGTATCATGTCTTGCAACCGGGGCAAATGTATCTTGGAAATCCACACCATGTTGCTGTGCAAACCCTTTCACAACTAACCTGGCTTTGTGCTTCAAAACTGAACCATTAGGATTCAGTTTTTTTTTGAAGATCCACTTTACTTGGATCACTTTCCTCCCGGTAGGCCTTTCCACAAGTTCCCATGTTCCATTCTTTTCTATCATGGACAACTCCTCCTGCATAGCAAGTCTCCATTCCTTAGACTTAGTTGCCTCATGGTAAGATGTTGGTTCAAGCAATGCAACATTGCATCTGCCATAAATCTCAGCAAGAGGTCTGGTTCCCCTGACTGAAATTTCTTCTTCTGTTTCAGAATCTGCCCCATCAGTTTGTTCAGCAGTTTGTTCTCTTTGCTGTGGCTGTGGATCTACCTGAATTTTCTTCTCTTCCCAATTCCACACTGACCTCTCATCAACCTTTACATCCCTTGAAACAACAACCTTTCTTGACTCTGGAATGAAGATCCTGTAAGCCTTGGATTGGAGGCTGTAACCTACCAGAATTCCAGCCCTTGCTTTGTCATCCAATTTTGACCTTTTGATGGCTGGTATGAGTACATAGCATATACTCCCAAATACTCTTAGATGATCCACTTGAGGCTTAACTCCATACCATGCTTCAAATGGAGTTTGATCTTTTAAAGCTTTGGTTGGAAGCCTATTCAGCAAATACACACTTGTATTGACAGATTCAGCCCATAATTCCTTTGGCAATTCCTTCTCAGTTAGCAAACACCTGGACATCTCCATTACTGTCCTATTCTTTCTCTCACTCACTCCATTTTGTTGGGGAGTGTAGGGACAACTAAACTGATGCCATATTCCAGCCTCCCTGCAAGTTGATTCAAACTCATTTGAGGTGTATTCACCTCCATTGTCACTTCTCACAGCCTTTATCTTAACTCCAGCTTGGTTTTCAACTTCAGCTTTGAACCTTCTAAACACAGCAGCCACTTCTCCCTTTTGCTTTAGGAAGTACACCTTCTAAACACAGCAGCCACGTCTGGAGCAGTTCACGTAGCTGTTCTGTAGGCATGCTGAAGTGATGTATTTTGGTGAGTTCAGCATGTATTTAGGTTGTCAACTTTGTATCAAATTAATGTGATGTAATCAAAGTTGCTGAGTTTGTGTGGTTAGGAAGCCATTTTGGACTAAAATATGTTTTATGGTTAGGTGCAATAGTGTCTGTCATGTATATATGTCTGCTGTAATTTTTAAGTTTAACACAATGCAATATTTCAGCTCTTTTCCTTTTCTTGTTTTCATCCTTTTCTCTCCCGTAAGACTACATTCATGCTCATAAAACCAACACAAACAACAGAGTTAAAATGGCTAAGTTATGGTTACTTAAAGATTCAAGTTTATGGGTTACTTGTCGGGTTAGGTAACAAGTTGCAAACTCAGATAGAGGTTGAAGATGACCTAGAGCAACCGACATGTAGTTTGTTTCTGGGTCCTAAAAATGACATGTCATCTGTTCACATTTAGTTATAATAAAAAAAAGGAAAAAACCCAATGAATCGAACCCAGGCCTTTTCAAAGGCTGTGCTGTCTATGAACCACTCTTGCAAATTGCTTTTTTTTTTTTTTTTTTTTAATATTACTGATTATATTTTTTTTGTTTTAATTTTTACAGTATTTTTTTTTATATATCATAGTTAAAAGAAAATATGGTTACTGAGACTTGAACCCAAGTCTTACACGTAGAGAACTAAACCTGCTGACCACTAAGCTACAATTTATTTACTATGTTTTTTTTTTTGGTAAGTTAGTAATGAATACTTTCAAGCCCAATCCATAACAGAGTCAAACGGGTCAAGTTGACCCGAGTATTCGACTTGGAACATAAAATGGGTTAACCAAGCCTAGTTAATGGTCAATTAGGTCAGCCGACCCAGTTTGTACCTGACCCGTCAGGCCAAACGAGTTAGTCAAACCCTCTCAAACGTCAATCCAGTCACCTGACCCGATCAACGACTGACCCGTATGGTCAAACAGGTTGGTCAAGTCAAACAGGTCAAACAAGGTCAAGTTGACCCAGTCAAAGACTAAAGGGTCAAATCGACCCGAAGTTGGGGTGGGTGTGGGTTTGACGTGTGGCAGTGCGTGACACGTGTGTGCCGCCTCCTACCAGCGCGTGGAAACTTCTATACGATGCGTGGCTGTTTCTGTCAATGCATGTAGGTGAGTGGAAGCTCCTGTCGGGGCGTGGAAGCTCCTGGACGGTCCATGGAGGTGCGTGGAGGGTTCCAAAGGTGTCATTTCCTTCTCTTTAAAGAATTAAGTGCACACTTGGTATGATATTGCGAGTCTATTCTAGTTATTGAGCCATAAACACGTGTAAGTATGTTATTTGTCAAATATAGTTAACCTTTATTTGATAAATGAATAGAAATTTTTTGTATTTGTTATAGAAAAGTGTTAAGTTATAAACGTGCAATGACTGTTAGAGCACCTGCTTAGAAGGAAAGGGTAATAAACATGATTAGAACTCTACAAACTCACACCCTAATATTAAGAGACACAGAGGATGAGTTGGTGCAACTAGTAAATCATTTCATTCACGTAAATCAAAAGATACAAGAAATTGTCTAGAAAGGAGGATTAATTAGAGATGAGATAAAATACAATATCCTTAGAGAGACTCTTATATAATTACCTTAGTCTCGTTGGTCTCCTTGATCTGGTTTAGAACAAACTGAAAGTTCAAAACCCTAAAGATGTCTATAAAGCTTATAGACATTTAGTCAATAACAACATCAAGGAGTATATAGATTGGGGTGCTAGAAAGACGGCTGGTGCATCCATTGGAGTCTCCACTCGTAAAGGAAATCACAAGAAATTAGGAGTTTCCTTGCCTAGAATAACTTACAAGTTAGATAAAGACCTTAAGATAATGCTTATTAGATCCTTCCCAGTTTATGGGATGTGGCATTACATTTAAGTTTTTTTTTTAAGACGTTTGTTTGTTTTAATGTCACTACATGTTGAATTCTATTTATATAATGGAATTAGTTTTAATTTTTATTTATTTATTCTATGTGAATTTATGTTGAAGAATACTTATGTGATTATGTCTTAATATTATTTTAGAATTGCAATTAATTATATCTATGATAATTGGAGATTAGAATTTCGGATAATGATTGTTGACATGGTTAACTTTTGATTCCAAATCTAATATACAATTATTATTAATATAATTAATTAAATATATGTATGTTGTGAGCATTGAATAACATGCATTATCCAATGTGTAAATTTTTTTTAGAAATGGCATCTTCATCTAAGAACATTGTCGCCGAACTCAATAAGGGAGAAAGATTTAACGGTGAAAATTATGAGATATGGAGCATGAAAATCCAATATGTCTTGAAAGAACAAGAGGTTCTTGAAGCTCTTACCACGACCATGGAAGAGCTTGAAGAAGGAGGCATGGCTCAACATAGAAAAGATCGTTTGGTTGATGACATGTGGAAGAAAAAGGATTCCACTGCTCACATTACTTTGTTGAGCAACATGGACAATGATCTCATGAAAAGGTACCGGCAATACGAATTAGCAAAGGATATGTGGTCCACCCTTGCTAAAAAGTTTGGAGCTATGTCCATAACCAAACTCTGGTCGCTTACAATCAAGTTTGACACTTACAAGAAAAAGCCTGAACATACTATAAGAGTGCACTTAAGGCACTTGTCAAACATGATTAGCGAGTTGAGAGATGCAGGTCATGTCCTAACTAATGAACAATAGGTTCAAGCTGTCATAAGATCATTGCCTCAAGATTGGGAACATACGAAGATACACCTTACCCACAATGAAGGCATCCAAAATTTAGAAGATGCCACACGACATCTGGAGCTG